AGTAAATATCCTCTTGGTTTACCACGCTTATTCCCCTTATAACACTCCGTTATTGAGCCTAATGTATTCCTGATAATACTAACTATAACACTGACTATACTCTTATCATATATAGTTTGATTTACTTTACGGCTCCCTGTAAGACTAACTGCCCTTCTGCAGTATTGTTAAGCAAATGCTAAATCTTTATTGGTTCAGTGTTAATATCTTTTTGTGATATGTGTAGACAGGTTACTTTGCAATGTCAAATGTTTACTACACACAAGACTGTCATGATAATTTAGTACACTAAGTCCTGCCAACCGACCTTACCTTCAGTTCATACTACCTATATTGATCCCTAACTATATTGTTCTGCTCAATCTTGCTCCACTACTCACAAGGCCTATTCTTTTTATTCTTTAAGGTTTTAACTTCTTATAAAGTAATCTGTTCATTAGGACGCATGCACACATATATAATCTGTTCATAAAGATGTACGTAGAGACCTATTGAAAGCACTCATTAAGAAAGCTGGGGAGATGGAATATGGGGTACGAACATGTCTGGTACCAAGCAGTATATTTGCGGTAGCCATAATAATCATAGTCTCAGAGCTTAACATCAAAAAAGGAGGGAGGGTGGCGTTAGCTGATCAGTAGATATGGTGGGGGTCACTAAGGTGAATCGCCCATTCTGCAGGAACAGCAATATACAAATTTGAAGGCTCGAGGTATTTCTGATTTTTATGAGGGCTCAGATCTTTATCTTGAAAAAGATAATAATGAACGCCTTGACAGATCATGCTTCTGCCTTTAAATATATACCATTCGCTCAGCCTATTGTTGAGATGCGACCACGCGGGATCTGCACAGATTTATGGGGCATCTTATAAACTAACTTGCTGTCCATTGTCGGATCTGTGAATACCACTTCACAATGTCTTATCTCAATCATTTTCCAATAACGTCTTTACTTGATCCTCATTATATTCCATTAAACCTAACATTTTATAGCTCTTTATGAATTTGATTCGACTTATTCTATTCCTATTCTCTGTAGGGTACGGTTGTGCACTAAATGCACAAAAAGGTGTAAAATAAAAAAACCGGAATGAGGATAAATGTATTAAAACCAAAAGTGGACATCATGATAGTAAGACTTATATGAGTAGCATTATGCATTGCGAATGAACGTTGTCAGCCTAGGGAGTTTCCTTTATTAATGCATTTATTAGTGATACTTGCACTTACCCATTTCATTATAATTTAATGATTCACCTCAGCACTTTTACTTTTCTAAAAACAGCTTTCAATCCGTTGTAAACATTGTACTTACCTCAATATTGGTTGGTTATCGTATGCCTACAACCACGGAATGAAAGCGAAACGAAGTCGATTTTCCCGTTCAACCTGAAGGTCAACTGTACAATTCAATAACTATACGGCCTGGTTCAGACCATGAGTATAATTACATATATATATCAAATATTTAACTGTTGAAACATTATTAACTTGTAGACAATCTATGATTTGATATTAAATCACACTTGATAGTAGCTGTAAAAATGGCATACATTTTCATGTAAATTTATGTGTTTATATGAGAATACACTTTATTATTATTAATAAACGTTTTAGCTGACATCATCCAGCATGGCTGCAAAGAGGAGACAGTGGTACAATCAGGAGCGTCGTAACCGAACTCCCCGGCGATAACTCTAACAGCGAATCAACCGACTCCCCACTCGGAGTCATTTACAAAGTAAATGAAAATCTGCCAAATGTAGTGTGTTTCCGAATTCCTATTACTGAAGAGGCTCTTACAACATACATCGAAAAGCCGGAGCTGTGTGTTCAAAGGAAATTAGTCCAGCCCTTACAACTATCATGGACCTAGTTAGGTATGTTCTCTTAGTCATTGGTTTCCACTTTTTTCAATTTCTGCCATTTTCATCTCTTTGCCTCCATTCAGTTCATTATATCTTTTCAGTTATAAAAATAGATATTTTAAGTTTGTTTCCATGCTTCCTCTGCTTACGCTTCTAATTCGCTTACAGTAACTATTATGCATTTATATCCTAATCATGTGTGATCTTTGCTTCCAAGCGACGGTTAATGACTCCTAATCTCCTTCGTTACTATGTGGAATTAAATAAATAATAATTGTATCTACGCAAACTTATGCATATAAAGGCGACTGTGCAGCTTTAAAAATAGATAAATTGACGAAGAGATATCTTTGCTAGACTTCTTGTTCGTTACCTTCCGATGTATTACACGGTTAGTATCTGTGAATAGCGAGCAAATTCAGTCGTTTTGTTTATAGAACAAATACCTCTTTCGTGAAGTTGTGGATGTATTTACTTTATTCTACTAGAAGGTAATCTTTTCATCAAGAGAATTCTCAAGATTTCGCTTTTTAATTCAAAGATTTCGTTAAATGGATTCCCTAGATGGTTTCTTCAAGAGACCACCCTCTGAGAGACCAGTTTTAATCTATCTACGTATTCTTAGGGAATGCGTTATAGAACCAAGCATCTTACGTTCACTCTGTCCAAATATATAATACACGCTTTATAATTAATTAAATTGCAGTTCTTGTATTCTATACCAAACGGCCTTATGAGCGATGAATTCACAGCACAAATGTTCACTTTGTTTCGCATATCCAGCTCATAAACATTATATCCACATTTGGTACACATTCAAGATTGATATGCCATGTGGTTAGCTTCGAAAAACACGCTACTACCGTGACTATAACGAGAAGAAAACCTCAACCTGGAGAAAGTGGCATCATTATAGTTTCTTAGTCCCGACATATTTGCCCACTTTGTCGCTATGGGGCGGCCTCGCGAGGGGTATTCCCGGATAGCAGTAATAGCAGGCCATTTTACTCTCTCGACATAATCTCATGCAGAGTTCTACCCGACTATATCAAACTAGTGAAACTAAGCGAACACCGTAAGCAGATTACTCAAGAGCAACCAACCGGAAGCTTCAATCTGCATAAAACGACGACATGTAAATTTACACCCATTGAGCAATCGACTAGCGAACTCCTCGAAAACAAGCTTGCAGGAACAGCAGTGAGGGATAGGACTGCAAAAAGACCGCTTGCATCTGCTTGGAAAAATAGCATCATAACGCAGATTAGTCAGGCCTTGATGAAGTCTAAGATTGCATACTTTAGAAATGAGATCGAGCAGTCAAAGACCGAATCGACGTCTCAAGCCTGTAGATAAAACTTTCTTATCCTGTCTAATGTGCCGGTGTGCAGCCGTTGTCTGCTTGAAGAAGGGGCTCTATCTGACAGGAGTACAGTTATAAGAGTGAAGGTTGATTGGCTATGGGCTAACAGGCGAATGGCGAGGGAGTCACAGGAACTAATGCTTTCTACCTCCATGGTCATACACCGTGTTCCGGAACTGAAAACTCTCACCGTTTAAAAAATGCATGACGTACAGTAATGGAGATAGCTGTCATCTCAGATTACCCCTAGCGCCTCTGGAGCAACCTCGATTTCCCAGCTACCTTGACCTACTCACCTCAAGTTGACTGACTGCTCAAGACAGCTAAACGTTTCATTCAACCCCCAGAAACAGCTGGCCCTAGAAGTTCAATGGTGGTATGAAACCAATGGTAGATTAGGAGGGTATATTCTATACTGTGGAAGCGGATTTCGAGCCCTAAGGAGGCAGAATTTTGAGGCCTCCATATGTCTACAAGGCTCAGTGCCAGTACAGAGGGGTGGCGTGGAGAATAACAGTCACTGTTAACCAACTGTCCTACTCGAATTCAAAGAAAAAATGCTAACGGGTGGTCCCTATCAGGATCGGCCAACTAGTCCCATTATAAATCTTTTTAGCAGCCTATGTAGCGTCAACTATGCCACAGCGCGCTGAAGTGATGAAACTCATTGTTAGCTACCTTAATAGCAACATGAGATGGCTGAGGGGAAAATTAAGTGAACTCAGAAATCTCTAGTCTCACCCAAACCTCAAAATAAGAGTGCTGACTGAAACTTGACTAACCTCCAATATCGCCGCCGGTCCAAGTGGAGAAGCTTCAAAAGTCACACTGACCACGTTGTATACCTAGATTCCTGGAAGCGGTGCAACTCAATAGTTAGGAGTGACAGGAAGTCATTCCAGGCAAACCCTGCCGAAACATAACTGGAGAGGCGCAAAAGCCTGTACCGATTGATTTCAGAAAGGAAACCTAGCAACCAGGGTGAATGCACCTTAGTGTTTTAAAACGGTCAGTATTTCTCCGGCTTGGAAATGGATGAAGAATCCTGTTTGGCCTTCGCCAAACAGTTAAGCAACAATGTGGCTAATACCCGTATAAGCGAAAAGGTGGCAACCCCACACCACCAAGTGGTTATGCTCCAAGTAAAACCCACAATGGTAGAAGAGAAGTTACATAGATCCATGCATAAAAATTCTCTGGGTTGTGATGACATTTGGTCATTTATTCTGAAACAGTGCGCTGAAGCTGTTTGAAAGCCCGTATGCGACCTGTTCCAACAAGAAGTGGGTTCAAGGAAACTGCAAGGGGAATGGTAGAGCGCCACGCTCTCTTTCATTTTCAAGTTAAGCAGAAGGCGAAATGCCAAGAGTCAAAGACCAGTAGCTCACCAACCATTGGTATCAAAAGTACTCATCGGAGTACTCCAGTACTACACACCGCACACTACAAACTGAAATTAAATAATCGCAGCACCACTCCTTTTGCAGTAAACGAATGCTACGACTGCCGATTGGCAGGATAAACTATGGAGAAGTTTACCGGAAACCAGGAACCTTCACCTCACAAAAAAGAAGCGAGCACAGAGATCAAATTTGTTTACACTAGCTAGTAAAAAAACGATATTTGATGTAAAAATATGAAGCATTACGATTCCTTCACAGAATATCCAGATGTATATGTAGGAATCCGCTTATACTCAACTTCAAGAGTGAATTCCGCTTGTTTTATAAATCAGATAATACTGCAGATGTTTTAATCGATCAATAGAAATGATAAGGTCAATATTTTGCCCTCGTCGAGCGGTAGATATTTAACTTGCTATGAAATACTGAGGTCCTCCCTACTGACAACTTAATCTTCAATCTTCAGCGGAAGACCTTCAGTAAACATCCAAAATTAACCTCGAGCTACACAGTCTAATTAAAGGATAATAACTCTAAGGCACACGGTTAAGGCGTTTCACCAATATTATGTTTACGAGAGAACTTTTCAATACAAATCCACATAACATAGCTCAAATATCTAAAACCAGACAGAATCTGGATTTATTTAGGCCACAAACATCTCTTGGGAATAACAGTGCCGCTTCTAACAGCTTACACCGTAACATGATAATCTCAAATGTGGCTGGACGACATTACTCACAGAATGAATCCTTTTGTTTTTCAGAAATACCTCCCACCCACTATAAAATGTCTGACTGCAGTTTAAGAGTTATCTCTACGCAAATAAGAAGAATTCGAGGGATTTGTACTTATTTATCAAAGAATATTAATTGTCCATTTCTTTATGAAACATACGGACGTTGTATATCGAAAGGTGAAACTTTCACCAACATACCAGGAATGTGTTTTATCTTGCAAGAAATCGGCCACAAACAAACGGTTAACTGTGCCTTATATGACTTTGATGAGATACTACCTGATATTGAGGTTGGAAGTATATACAGGTATGTTCAACTAGTTCATAGGACAACTAATAACTTTCCGAAAACATCGTTTATCACGCATTAGCAGAACATTTTAAATGCATTTTATGTCCGAAAATTATACCTATATCAAACACAAAGAAGAAGGCTTTTATCAAGAGCTGCTTCATACAGATGCCTTCTGAATTCTTGTCCATACATTCAGTCACAAAACATTGCATGCTAGCTTCCATAAATACCGATGATAAGTGCAGATAATGGAATAATAGTCGCATTTACTTCTGTAGGTTAAACAGAATTTAAAATACTCCAATATAAGTATTTGAATAGTGCTGGTTCTGATCATGTACTCTACACAACTGATGCCACAAGCAGTAACGTTTTCAGGAAAACCTTACCAGGTTATTTTATTTTGTGATTATTTCTCCTCCTCTATGGCTGTCACTCGAAAATTAGTCACATTTTAAGTTTTTATAATGGCAGGCATTGCGGTGCTATAGACCACCAGAAATCTTGCATGCTCTTAACATTCGAAACAACTAATGTAAAAACTAGTGAGTTATAGTGACGCGTTATCTGTTTCTGCCTGAACCCATGTATGTATTAATTTGTTTTGCTTAGAAGGGTTTGGATCCAAGTAAGAAAAAATAACTAAGGTAGAATAACATCGTTATATTTCGTCGGTTTTTACAACTGCATATAACCATAAAGAATTTGAATACCAATGTACAAAATATTCAAATACTCTACTTATTTGTCAAAAATATAAGGGACAATAGTTGTAACGTTATTAACTGCCATAAAGGAAAGAAATTAAAGTTGTTATGCTCGTTAGTACGCATAAAAATAATCATAGAATATTTTAGAAGTATGAACGAATGTCTCAAATAGAACAAAGGTGTAAATTGACAAAATATTTAAGTATGGGTTAAGCAATTTAATTAAACAGAAGACAAAAAGTAGTCCGGTCAAGAGTATACATGAAGACGAAATTGAGAATATGAAGTTATATTGTCAAGACAAATTTAATTGGAACAACAAAATTAAAGAAACACAAATTACATTGACCATGGCAATGTAAGACTAATAGCAGTTTTTATCTTAAGCCATACTTAACGAATTGAAACTCCCCTGAACTTAAATTATTCCATTTGATTTCAATACACCATTTTCATGATTACTATCAAAAAAGGTGTGGACGATCGCACCTTTCTGTTGGAATTATCTCGGAATGTACTCAGACATATGATCAAAAATTCTTCTTCTTCGTACGATGTATGTGTTTGACACATTCATGAAAACTGGTTTATTTAGTTAAACGTGAGATTACCAGTCAACTACATATTCTCAGTGAGCAATTTGACTAACCTGGCAACTGAATAAGTTCATTTGAGAGCAGTATTTATTCGATGTTTAATTATTCCTGATACTCCATTACCTTGGAATCGAAGCTTTAGGAAGGACGGTTTCTTCTCAACTGCATCAAATTTTTCTCTTCACTTTTCAATAATGGCAAATTCATAACTCTGCTTCTTTCGAGTTTTTTTCAGCGAGGTATAACGATTTCAATACCAAACCTCCTTTGTAGTTTATTAGGCAAAAACAACTGCGATTCAGATACAGTAAATTGAAGAATTCTTTACGACGAATATACCTTTGTATAATTTTGTGTTTCATCTGTATGCCACTCATATAACTCCTTTTTATTGTTGTATGAACAGTACTTATTGTAGTCACGTGGCTCATTTCACTAACTAATATTCTCTTTCTAGTTAGACTTTGTTTCTATCGAAAGTTTTGAGCCCTGGTCCTCTCTCCAAGAGCATTCGTCTAATTAAACCATAAATAGTCGATCCTCTCAACACCTAATAATTAACTACTAACATCATTCCTCATGTTACTCGGATTTTTTATCCATAACTCATGTCCAATGCGAAAAAAGCAGTGTTTATCTATTTTTTTTACTTAGATTTTAGTACTATTAAGCTTATACGCAGTTGAAAAGAACGCATGGAATAATGAAAATAAGCTCACTATCCCGTTACACTTGTTGGTCCTGCTTGTCAAAGGAATCTTCATCGGTGAAGTCTTTTCGATACTTTTCACTCGAAGCGCAGAAACACGTAACTGAACTGTAATCATTTCGACTGAAAAGCCAGTATTGAAAAATGAATATATTGATTTATTTTGTTTAAATATAGGAATATTAAGCTTTCGAGTTTATTTTGACTAGGTTAACATTATGGATTGTAAATGAATGTTATATATTAAACATCTACATATGTTTGAAGTCTAAAATAAAGTATTTTTGTACCTAACAGATGCGTTGGGCGATACCATTGTCTAAAGCTTATATACCAGTGCTTCACTGTGGAGAAACTGAATGAAAACGAAATAAGTCTCATGGAGTCCTTTCAATACCAATCAAACTTAGAACTGGTAGAACTAATGAAACCAAACAAAGATGCACAGAGTTCTCGAAAAGTTCGCCGAACAGCGTGGAGACCCAACTCAATAGCTAAACCGCCTGCTCCCAAACATTTTGTTCCCTTTAGACATTCACAATTGCCAAATACATATGTTACATGAAACGAATAAAAAACTTTTTCAATCGTCTTTAGTTAATATCACATACACACTTTTATCAAACTGTTGAGAGCAAACTTGGTTTGGACATATGTGATGTTCCTAGTAGAATAGCACAGATGGAAATTAGTAAGTTTATAACAATAAGAGTCCATACAGAGATAATGCGAAACTACAATTAATTTATGAATAAAATGGAAAGATTATCATTAAAAAAAACAAGATAATAGGTATATAAAGCACCAGGGAGTAAAAGTAAATTAATTAAAATAGAATAAAAAAACACCAATATACACATCACGTATAACATTATTCCCAGGATTATACGTAAGTTCATCAACTACTGGTAGATGTCAAATAGTCCACACCTAGTAGCGCTCATGACCATACGAGCGACACTGACGGATCGACAGAGGATTCTGAGAATGAAAGTGCAGCACACGCTGCAGATATACTAACACTAGACAGAGCAGAGCTCACGCTAAAATCCAACATTGAAAAAAAGGAGATGGAAAAACCAATAACCACATTTACAAGAGTAAACTTCAGCAAGCTATTCAACAAATGAAAAAATTTGAATAAGAAGCAAATAACACCGACTAAAAAATTCAATCAGCAATTGTCCGGTAGCCACATCATTTCCCAGCAGACTGACTACTGAACGTGCCATCTACGAGCTGTCGTGGCAAACACGTTCGAAGAGCATCACGCGATCTGAAATAAAAATAAGAGGTAAAAATCATTATATTTAGGCATCAGTAACGTCTGAGTTAAAAGTGATAGTTGTCCGTAAGACACATCATTTATCTTTTGTCTTATCAACATTTGGTTCCAATGCATAAACTATCGAAAGATTGTTGTTGAGCTGCGTTAAATTTGAAACTAAGAGACAAGTGGCTACTAACACGTACTATACAAGTTGTTTTCTATGTAATATGAATAACATTCTGCTCTCAATCGGTTACTAGTAAGTTTTCTGTGCAATTATTACCAATTATTATTATACCTGATTCGTTAGGCAAACTGTCATAAGTTCGACGGATGTACGACACGCCGACTTCATTGAAAAGCTTTACCACGATTAAGATGGCCACCCAGATTATTTACAAGTATATGGAGAAATAAATTAATGGCGTTGAGATTTCAGGTGATATACCTAACATGAAATAGTGAAATATGAGTATTTCTTGTCTGAATTTCACGCTTCTAGGTCTCTAACAAAATAAGTACTTTGTTAAACGAATACTCAGACAACCAATTCAAATAATAATCACATTTTTTCCACACATTCAAATGAGCATGTTAATTTTCAAATTTAATGTAGCACATCTCTGTGATTGACCTTACCATACATTTATAAGTCGCCAGTCCTGGAATGCTTTGATATTGCTTTTAATAATCACGGAGACAATGTTGTTATGCCACAGAAAAACCTTATCGCGCTCTCATTCTGATTCTCTTCCTGGAGAGTCTGTCGCTCAATGTGTTACAGTCTACGCTCTTTAATGCTCCTCAAACTGAAACGCCAGCTTCTGATATGGTGGGTGTATACAAGTGGGTATCTTCAGTAACGATTGTGGAAACAAGAGAAACCGCTCTTCTCGAGCTTTGGTATGTCGTTATGGGTATATATATGAGTGATATGTATCCACATATATATATTTATGTGTGTGTGTGCATGTTGGTCTCTCTTTCTGTTTGCTCGGTTAGTCTGTGACCACTTCACTTGTATGGACTTGTCTCCTTTAATAATGTGTATTCTCCTTATATTATATTATATATAATATGAGTGTTTGTTGACAGTCCGTTGCTTGGTGACATATATCCATATATGTTTGTTGGCATGTCTGCTATATTCGCTATGTATAATTGGATCGACACTCCATTATAATTAGCCATTCATGTTAAGACTGTCTAATGATTTTTCCCACGCTTTGTCTGAATTATTTATATATATTCGCATTCACAATTTGTGTGAACTACTTTACTTTACAACTACTTTACTTACTTACCACTTTGGTGTGAGACCATTTATTTTCGTCTCCTTGTGTTTGGACAATAGAAGTATCATCGCAAACCTAGTGGTCTTCTGATTTCCGCCTTCTCGCGTCAGGACTATTAGTTTCTCGACCAGTCCATAACAATAATTTAGCGACGAGTACATAACAATTTGGCGACGGGGAAAACAGTACATAACAATTTGGCGACGGGGAAACTAGACATAACAATTTGGCGACGGGGAAACTAGACATACAATTTGGCGACGGGGAAAACTACTATTAACCACACAGCAGCAACAACATAACAATTTACTATGGATCCTATTAAATTGGAATTATTGTTTGAACGACAAATGAAATTAATGGAAATGTTCGTCAACCAACAGACTGGTCCAGCTCCACCTTCAAGCAATCCCAATCATACCATGCTACCATCTGTCGACGGAATTGTGAACAGCATTTCACAGTTCAATTATGACCCAGAGGCTAATGTCACTTTTGACACATGGTATCAACGTTATGAGGATTTATTCACTGTTGATCTCGCCTCACAAGACGATGCCTGGAAGGTGCGAGTTTTGCTACGTAAATTGGGTCCGGCAGAATATGAACGGTACTGCAACCTAATTTTACCACAGAAACCACGTGACAATTGTTTCGATGATACAATAAAGTTGCTGCGTGAACATTTCGGAGACCACTCCTCATTATTCAGTATACGTTATCGTTGCCTCAAGCTGGCAATGAATGAAAATGATGATTTTCTTACTCACGTTGGCACAGTCAACCGAGAATGTGAGAGATTTCGACTCAGGTCCTTAACAGATGATCAGTTCAAAGCCTTGATTCTCATATGCAGTCTCCAATCTCCTCGTTTCACAGATATCCGAACTCGACTGCTCAATCAGCTAGAACAAAATCCCAAGTTAACATTACATGACATAGCTGATGAATATCAACGGCTGATTAATCTGCAGAAAGACACACACCTGGTCGAATCAACACCTCCGAGAAGCTCTGATATTCGTGCATTACGCAAGAGCAAAAATCTCTCATCAGCTACTCCTGACCCACCTACTTCTCCTAATGTTCCGCGGAAATCTACACATACTCGTCCAACTTCACAAAATACTGCAAAGAAGACCCCACCATCACCATGCTGGCATTGTGGCGCGTGGCACTTTGTAAAGTCTTGTCCATACAAAAATCATCGTTGCAGCAAGTGCAAGATCATCGGTCACAAAAATGGTTTTTGTCAGCCACGCAAGCCCAGATATCAAAATCCAGCAAAAGCTCAACAAAATGTTGGTCCTAAATCCCCCAAAAAGTCATTGAGTCTACGCGCAACCCGTCAAGTCACAACACCAGCTATGCGGAAATATCTTGATCTTCAGATGAATGGTCATGATGCACGTCTGCAGCTAGATACCGCCTCTGATATTACTGTTATATCAGAGAAACTTTGGAATTATATTGGCAGACCACCTATCACCAATACTTCCCAGTCTCTTCTCAGCGCCTGTGGTGGGCGGCTCAAACTAATTGGTGAACTCAAATGTTCTGTTTCCTTCCGCAATACCAAATTCACAGGAATTTGTTACGTCACGAAGAATGATTTAAATGTTTTGGGACTTGATTGGTTCGATCGTTTGCATCTGGCTGATGTCCCACTAAATTCTCTACGCAATACAGTGAAGAAGCATAAAATGCTAGACAATTCCGGACGGAGCCGAAGCCGCAAACCCAACAATCAGACGAAACGACAGGCGTCAACAACAAGCCCAAAGGTCCCAGATAAACCCCCAGGTAAACATCCTACTAATCATTCATCTTCTCAAAAGGGGAGGTGATATGTATCCACATATATATATTTATGTGTGTGTGTGCATGTTGGTCTCTCTTTCTGTTTGCTCGGTTAGTCTGTGACCACTTCACTTGTATGAACTTGTCTCCTTTAATAATGTGTATTCTCCTTATATTATATTATATATAATATGAGTGTTTGTTGACAGTCCGTTGCTTGGTGACATATATCCATATATGTTTGTTGGCATGTCTGCTATATTCGCTATGTATAATTGGATCGACACTCCATTATAATTAGCCATTCATGTTAAGACTGTCTAATGATTTTTCCCACGCTTGTCTGAATTATTTATATATATTCGCATTCACAATTTGTGTGAACTACTTTACTTTACAACTACTTTACTTACTTACCACTTTGGTGTGAGACCATTTATTTTCGTCTCCTTGTGTTTGGACAATAGAAGTATCATCGCAAACCTAGTGGTCTTCTGATTTCCGCCTTCTCGCGTCAGGACTATTAGTTTCTCGACCAGTCCATAACAATAATTTAGCGACGAGTACATAACAATGAGGCAAAAAGAGAGTCAGTACCTGAACTCGCTCCAATCCTTTGGTATACATTTAGTACCACTGCTGCTTTATTTCAGGAAATATGCTCAATATATCCCTATTCTAATCCTCCAAACATAAGTGTACGTTGTCATTTTTTTCAAATTATATGTATATATATAAATGGCAACGTAAACTTATGTTGAGAGGATTAATGTAGGAATAAATTTAACATATTTCTTGAAGTAAAGCAGCAATTGAACCAAATGTATACCAAAGGATTGGAGCGATTCCAGGTACTGACTCTCTCTGGGCGACTTCTAGTGACCGAAGCATTCGCGACCTGCCTCGCGTAACCTTTCTAACTCAATTTCTTTCTCCATTTGTGTATCACGCATTTTAGCTACTTACAGCTCTATCATACGATTTGACTCATGATAATTAATTCTAGTTATGTACGCTTCCTTACACCTTTCTGATTGTGGAGATACACGTGGCATCAAATCGTACTTTTCATCTAACAACATACTTTTCGAAACTTCGTAAGATTAATTTTGTCTACAAATTTTGTCCTCACTATCAATACTGACGATACAGAGTCTGTGACT